AGTGCAGCGGTCTCCACGCTCGACTCTTTCACAGAGGTAGGTCCACCCCTCAATGACCAAATCACCACGAATGTCTCCGATTTGTTTTCAGGTTGTTACCGCCTGTTACGTGACATGATGTTTGAAAGTTTCACTCACCGTGCTCTGAGCTTCAGGAACTGAAGGCCTCCCAGCATTGGGAGCGAAACATTGTACATCATGTCGTATGCAGTACAACCCAAATACACATCGGAGAGCCATACAGCATATCTGCAAAAACCAGTACAGTAATATTACCTTGAATGTACCTAATATTACTGAATGTCAGAAGCTAAGCAGACCGGAGAGAAAAACACTAGCCAATCAAACCCTCATCCCAGCCATAGCCATAACCAAACTAAGCCAGCCCCTAGCACTATCCCCACCCCTGACCCAATCATTAACCCCAACTTCTGTGTTATGAATTAACCCAAGCCTATTTCACTTTCATTGTTTACAACACTTTGACCTGACACTGATTTCATTTAAGGCAGGTAGGGTGAAAGTTTTCCACTGGCACACATTGTTTCATAGCAGTGTTGCGCTTGTGCCAGTGAGGAGTCTTCCAGTGTTTTCTTTGCATAGCCTCCATGGCCCGCAACACATCTCTGCTGCGTTCCCTATTCCCCTACAGTTCACGCAGAAAATGCTCGAGAGCTTCTTCAACTACACTTCATCGTTTGCAGTGAGCCAGACACAGATGGTGCCCAACGTGTCAGAAACCTTCATCCCGTCCTCTGTCCTGAAGAAGTGGTAACTAAAGCTAATTGCGCATAAAGTGGCTCGCTTGACAGTCTTTTATTTCCGTGCAAATTATTTGACCTCTTATATAGCTCTTCAATGTATTTCAGGAGAGTTATAATTCAACCTGCGAAAAGCTATTCGAAGTTAAGCAGAGGGGTGAAAAAATGTTTGCAGTGTTTGTCTTTTTTTTACAAACCCAAGTGTGGCTAGTGTCATGATTTAGCTGATTTTTGTTTTAATGAGACTGCTTGTTATTTGTTTCAGGTACGAAAACTTCCAGAGGCGGCTACTGCAAAATCCAAACTTCTGGAAATCCTAATATGGACAAGTATGAGGGCTTATTTTAAGGAATTAGCTTGGCATATTTAAGTGAACTAAACAAAAACCTTGTTAATGTCACCACCCCTACAGCTGCTCACTGTTTCTCACGATATATAGAACTGGTGTTAATGCCGCATACTGCTCAACAGCAAATTCACACACCTGTAACAAAATCTGAACATGTTTACAAAGAGCTTTGCTCACACTAACATCCCTTTGCCAAATATAATAAGTGATCCCCACTTGCCCAGGCGAACCCTGACCTCTGCACGTGATGCTTCAAAGCAAAGCCAGCTAAGGTGCGGCGTTGGGACTGCAGTCAACATGCAGCAAGTTATTTGAGGAGCGATGGCTGGGGATGATGTGGTTTTAAGTGAAATCAAGGCTGCATTTATGTTTTCAAGCTGTGTTCATCTCCTGATATGAGCCATCAATATGTAATGTGTGCTGTTTGCACTGGAAATAAATGGCCACTCCACTTAACAAGTTCACAAGTTAAGTCACTTAACATACTGATATTTTTTAGGATTGTACTGCATTTTGATTGGCGTAATGTCCAATTTTTTGCTACATCTGCTTGGAGCTTCGTCGGACGTGATGCCAAACCACATGGTACAACCCAAAAACATTCCAGAGTGCTACAGCACAACCGTGAAAACCTGAGCAGGAGAAGATATACTCAGTTTAAAAGCACATTTTGTTTGCAAATCGTATTTTAATATTAAGGGTTGGAGCAGAGGTTAGCGCAATACACTGTGAACCTGGTGACCTTTGATTCCTGTCCATGGCTAGCATCAGTGTAGGGTGATATCTGAACTGGTATTGTGCAACTCCTTCACGAACCCACACTGACCATTGTGGTTAAGTATGGTCAACCAACACCATGACCATGATGTGGGAAGTCCATCCAACAGGAGATTGACAAATGTCTAATTATTAAAAGTTGAATTCAATCTGAAGCTTTTGTCAATACCATCAACCCATTACATTTCCATATATTTTAAAATAATATATAGGCCATTAAACAGTGTGTTGTGTATTTATCGAGATTTGGAGCAGTTTTGTGAATGAGTAGGGTTCACTAGTCGAGGTGTACACATACAGGTGCCTATATTTGTTTAACTCAATAGTTTGGCTTGAATTATATTATTTGCACGCTAAAAAATAATGTTTTGCATAAGTATGAAATGTACAGCAAATATTTTTCAAAATGCTTTTGTTAAGTCTTATTCGGAACACTGATGCTTAATGACATTTTTATTATTTGCAATATTCTAAACACATGCGCATGGATTTGCATATGTGTTCCAAAAGTAATAATTTTGTCAAAAATTATCAGGTCAAAACATGTTTTTTTTTTTTTACTGGGATGGGTTTGTTTATTACTAGTGACATTTGTATGCAATTGAATGTCTTTTGTATCAAAAGAACAATGATATTTATCTGATAAAAAGCACCGGAATACAGCAAGTCCACTAATTACGTTGGGGATGCGTCCCTGGAAGATGCTACGTTGGGAAAAACAAGGCAAATTGAATCCTATTTTACCATTAATGATTTAAATTTTGGATACGTTCCTACGGGTAATATTTTTGTTTAGAACTTGCAGAAACTATTAAATAAGCATCATACCCAAAATATACGAAGTTTAAATCTTAATACCAGAGATGGCGGTGGAGAGTGCATTTAGAGAGGGTAATGTATACAGTACAGTTTCCAGTCCAGTTGCGATGTAAACACCGAGACGCTTGGTGTCAACGCAGTGCGTAACAATTTTCAAAACAAGTTTATGAATTCATTTTAAAATCTAACTGCATTCACCAATTCGTTGAGATGTTAATTGCGAAACAACGTAAATAGAGGATTTGCCGAATAACGTTTCCGCATGGAACTTCTGCTTGTTAAAAAACATGACTGACATTAAGTGTGAATTTAAGCTCCAAAAAAACCTTCACAATTGAAACATTAAACTACCGCAGTGTTTGAATCGCATGGCTTGTCAGTAGTACTCAGTATTTTAAAGTGGTTGGATCTTACCTCCCATGTTGTTTGACATTTGATCATGCAAAACATACCCCTTCCCATGTCCGAGCCGTGCCAAATCGGGACCTCTGCAATACCAGTGGTCTTCCTCCACAAAGCTGCCACTTGGAGCCTTGACCGAACGCTGATATGCTGCTGTTTTCGCAAGAAATGTATATTCCTCTGGGCCAAGCCAGGCAAAGATCTAGGCTTAATGACGTTTTAAATGCGTCTGACGTCAAGTCAAACCCACTATGAGGACACGATAACATCAGTTACACATTGCACGTTCCCTCGGCTGATTAATTGGGCTTCTCTGGTTATCAAAACGACCTTGCCGTCTCGCGACCCGTCAAGCGCCTGGCTCGGCATCGTCCAGCGTGGCTTGGGATGCGTCAGTGGAAAATGCGCATTGGTGTACTTGGGCTTGTGGATGGGGGCGAGAACCACTATCCTTCCGTTCATGTTTAGTTTGTTTAACCAGGTGAGAAGTCAAAAGACCCAGGATAATCTCATTTGCGAAAGTAACCCGGTTCACCAAAGCGACGAAGGCAAAACAATCTTATAAAGGACGGCAATTGGGATAAAAGCGTGTCGCGAGAAATCAAAAATACTGCGCACATGTTAGGTTATACATTCCCTGCAGCATATCTGCTTCGACCGATTATATTTAGACTGATCATAGAACTGGAATTTCAGTTAAGAAACGTAAAGGATATTAACGACACTCTAATGGCCTTTTGGCTACGAATGAGGTTTTTTTACAGCAGCTACTCTGCCTTCCACTAGTGGAATTGGGTTAATGCCCATTGCAGAACCTTTTTGGGAGTCTTGACACTTCGGCTTTCGCTATAAAGGAAAACCTCAAATATATTTAAGGCGATTATTGCACTCGTATGTAAGCATTCACGAATTTGTCTAACGAGCAGCAGGCAAAGCAAAGTGAGGTGTCGAATATCGTGAAATTGTGAGTTGGAAAATATCACCTTGTGTGAACAAATGCATCCATAAATTAGGAAGAATTATTTATTGTACATTTTTGCGTGTGTGTGTGTATTATTGTTTAGCACCACCACAGCCATCCCTAGGCGATGGCGAATCCGGGCGATCGCCCCAGGCCCCGCAAAGTGGTGGTGGTGGGGGGCTCCGCTTTTTGACATGCTGTCGGATATAATCCGGTTTAGTTTGGGGGGGGGGGGGGGGGGGGGCGAAGTGTGAAAGAAGTGTTATTACGTCATTGTCCCGGAACACGACTGCTTTACCTGATCAAATAAAAATATAGTTTAGTTTTACTTGTATTTTTGTGTGATTTGCTTACATTTCCTATACCTTGCATTCCTATTAAGTGTTTTTCGTGTTTGCTGTTTTGTAACGTTTTGACCCCGTGCCCCTACTGATAATCTGTGGGGAAAAAAATATCTTTATAGCTCATCGCATTCCTCCAGTGTACATAAATCTTTGATTCGATGAATCTAGAAAGCAACCCCTTAAACGGCCCTGGTTGCGTCATACCCCCCTCCTCACCGACTCGGTAATCGATGCATCGACTCGTAAACGAATCGATTCGCGCGCTCGCCCCAGCGTTCAAACCGCGAAGCGCCCGCTCACTCGTCCAATGGGAGCACGCGTCCGGCGCTGTCCACATTTCCCACTGCGCACGCGCGCGCCGTTGGTCTTCTTCGCCGTCACGTGGTCACGAGCTGCCGCCTCCGCCACCCCCCAACCCTCTCTCACGTGCGCGCGCTTCACACCCCCCCCCCCGCTGGCCCCTCCTCCCCACCCGCGTCGTCACAGCCCACGCCTCTCCCCCCATTGGCCGATAGCGCCACCCTCCCCCCACCCTCCCCAGCGTGACCACCGCAAAGCCAATCGCGGGGCTCGGCAGGGGGCGCTTATGCGCGCTGGGAAATCTAAAGGGGCCCCCCCTGGCCGCCATATTGTGGGGCACCTCGCTGTCGGCGCGGTCGGGCCTCGAGCTTTGCTCGCCCGCAGCTCTGCACCCCCTCCCCCCCTCACTGTCCCTGCAGCCTGCGGCCTCCTGCCGCCGCTGTGTTACCACCTCCACCCGCGAGCTCAGTCGGTTTCGCCCAGGGGAAGGGGTTTTATTCCCCCCCCCCCAAGCGCCTGCCGGTGGTGGTGGTGGTGGACGTGGGCGCCATGGAGGCCGTCAAGTGCTTCAACAAAGAGGTGCGGGGCGGCGAGGCCTGCGCCTTGGGCCTCGGCTGGGCTGGGCCCCTCGCGGGCGCTTGAGGGGCGCGACGTGCTGGGTCGGGGTCGGCGGCGCGTGGTGGTTGTGGTGGTGGTGGGCGTCAAGGAGACCGCTCTCTGGGGGTCTCGGCACGTGCGGAGTTTTCTCGTGGTGGTGGTGGTGGCGCTAAGGGCACGGGCGATAGGCGGTTGGTTTATTTTTGAGTGCAAAATGGCATTGGTGAAGTTGTGGTCTGTGGGTGAGCTCTCCCACGTGAGTAGCCCTGAGGATATGGAGAGGGGAGTTCTGGTCAAGGATTAGAGTATGAGAGTTCGGAGTCTCGCTGGCGATATCTAGGGTCTACGAGGTGATCCATGTCCAGGTTGTGTGGATGAGACTCTCCCCATGTGAGTGATCTGGGCAGACAGGTCTGGTTGTGTGTGTGTGTGACAAGCATCTTCCAGGCGAGGAGGTTTAGGGAGGAGGGTCTCCTGGTCGTGGTGGTGAGAAGTTTGAGTGAATCAGGCTCTAGCGGGGTCTGGAGGGAGAAGCATGGGCGATGAAGTTGGGAACTTGATTTCGGGTCAGAATTCAGTTTCGTTTCATTGAAGTGCCTGGGAGGAGGGCATTGACGAGTAATTTGTTTGATCCCCGTATCACGGGGGCGGGCGCCGTTCCATAGAGGTTCTGGAGACATGGATCTCTTCCTTACCCGAAGACCAGAGACTGAATCTGTGTGGAATAAATGCAGGGAGCACGGCCTTCAAGCCAGCCCTGATTCGTGACAGGGTCTCCATTGCCTACCCTGATGGTCATGAACCGCGTCTCGGTAACTTCCTCCATCTCTGATGTGGATCGCGTGACCAGGGATTATATTGTCTGGTGCCTTATAATTCCATTGAATAAAGTGTAAATTTAGCGTCGTGTTCAGGTCCTGGTTTTCATGTCCACGAGCTGGCCGGCATTGACCATGTTTTTAACCAGAGTATGGAGGTCTCATTCATTTTTGTTCTGCACATAGATGGGGTCCTCTAACTTCGTATCTATATTGTCTGCTTCAAAGAGCATGGACTTGGGTCACATTCCTGATATTCACGTCCACAGACAGGGGTCACATCGACTGTCTTGGTGACGATTGATGGGACCTTATTGATGTCACCTTTTAAGACCAGGAGGGGTCACATTGCAGCTCCTCAAAACACGTTTCTTCAACATCATTGCATTCTAGCACTGCGTCCCATGAAAGTACTTTAGTGCAACATACTTCTGAACTGGAAGATACTCTTAACCAATGTATATTCCTATCTGCTGAACCCTATCTTTCCCCATACATGGTTGTGGTGTACGGTTTGTTGTCTGCTGTCAGTCATTTGTAGACTTAAGTGTCCAATTTCAGCTGCACACTTGCCTACCGTTACTGCATGTCCCAGTCGACCGGCTTATTAAGATGTGAGGATGGCGTAGTGAAGCCTACGGAAACTCGTCAGTACTCCAGCACGGGGCCCAGATTCATTAGCATAGAGCAACGAGCTGATGGAAGACGGGAAGAGCCCCTGGTATTGCACCAAGGGGTTTCGTGACTTCAATGTGCATTGTGAAGCGACCGTTTCAGCTGGGTAGTGGTATTCAGTTGTTGGAGCTGGCTCAGACGTTGCACATCTTGTATGGAACACGTGACTTGAAGGAATACTGAGGAGAGAAGGCGCATCTAAGAGAGCCACGGTGGAGATTGTAGTAATGATAGCTTAATGTGCAACAGTGAGATGAATGGTGGCATTGCAGGATTGAATAATTCTGTTGGCGTGGGGAGGGAGGTCTTCATCGTTGGATAGACGAGGGCTGATGTTTTTAAACCTCGAGAATATGTGCTGTGCTGGTTGACGATACAAAAACTATGGCGTGTGTGTGCGCTGTACGTCACCACATACAAATGCATGGACCGTAATGTAGAGGTTGTCTCTAAGAAAGCACAGGCTGATGGACATGCATTTTATTTGATGTTTGCACATGAACGTTCTTTTTATTTTAATTTCATACTTAACAATGTAAATGTTTTTGTTGCCTCAGCTGACCTCGTTATACGAGTCAAAGCCTCCCATCTCTCGTGCAAAGATGACACAGCTGACCAAGTCGGCCATCAAAGCCATCAAGGTAAGCCCAACCTCCGATCTACAGCGGTGACAACTATTTGATGTATTTCTGGGTTGCACCACGCTTGGAATTATGTCTGACGTTTCGCTCGATGTAATTGGAGCTTCTTCATTCAGGCACTGAACTTCTGAGGAAGCTCCCAACACATGCAGCACATCGAGAGAAGCATCAGACGGCACACAAAACAACACGCAGTACACTACAATCAAAACATCGGAGAGCTATACAGCACAACCGCAAAAACCTATGCAGTAGTACTACTGCAGTGACGTCCTCCACATCCACACGTTCATGTATGATTCGTGCTGAAAATAAATATGCAGTGTAGATGTTTGACTTGGCCTGCTAGAGGTGGAATTCTATAGCTATTTGTAGACTAAATAAGAGTAAGGTTATTGACTGTCACCCTGTCAATATGAAGTGACCTAGTTGTGTAGTGGCATCTGCACTTGCGAACATTATAAGTTGCGTTTTTAGTTGAATGCAGTTCCCTTGAATTGAATTGCACGTTATCTATTGTGCTTGTGAGTGCGACAGAAGTCTGTGATATAACCTGAATATTTTTCTTTTTTTTCTAGCTTTACAAGCACGTTGTGCAGAGTGTGGAAAAGTTTATACAGAAGGTAAGTGAACGGTTAAATGAAGTGATTTATACACTGCATACAGGTGTGATGTGTAATTTATACTGTGCTGGCTCTTGAGACGATGTTTTCATAATTTCCCTCTTGTTTTACCACAGTGCAAACCGGAATACAAGGTCCCGGGCCTGTACGTAATAGACTCAATAGTTCGGCAGTCCCGCCACCAGTTCGGCACGGAGCGTGACGTGTTCGCTCCACGCTTCGCCAAGAATCTCACCAACACCTTCCAGAACCTTTACCGGTGTCCATCTGATGACAAGGTATGACTGGAACCAGTGCCGAGACTTGCAGAACCTTCCTTTAAAAACTGATCAACTTTTTTAGTTTTTTGGCTAGCTGACTTTGTGAAGTGTGAGGTGTCTTTTCATGTAGGTTACATGTACTAAGAGATCCAACTGCTAATTCAAGCATCAATGCTTTTGTGATGCAAGTCAAAAGCTGTGTAGAGAAACAATGGTATCTCATAAGAGCAATTGTTTGTTTAGTTTGCAAGGAGAATGTGCCTCTTGTGAGTATCAATGTAATCGCGAAGTCGGTAGTTAGGGGTGGATTTGCGAATTTGTCTTGCTATAGAAATGCTTGTTCGCGGTGCCCCTTTTGCATTGTTGCGTCTCTGCCTCATCGACGGATCCTATTTTGGTGGTGCGCACGAGAGCAGAGCAGGATCGTGCGCGTGCTCAACCTGTGGCAGAAGAACAACGTCTTCGGCAGCGAGATCATCCAGCCGCTGCTAGACATGGCGGCCGGCATCCCGCACCCCGCGGCTGCCTCCTCGGGCCCCTCGGCCCAGCAGCAGGCGGCGGCGATCACGCCGGCCACGCCCAACTCCCCCGCCACACCCCAGCAGGCCGCGCCGCCCGCCGCCGCTGACCACTGGGGCGTCACGCAGCAGATGCCCAACGCGGACGCTATCGCCGCCGTCGCACAGCTGCTGCAGAGCTCGCAAAGCCAGCAGGTCTGGCCTTGACACGAATACCACAATCTTGACCTCCACAATGTGTAAACCAGACGTGGGGGGAACCCCTTCCCTTACTGAGAGCGAAAATATAACTTTGAGGGGCCTTTTGGCGTGCTATACAACAGTTGACCCTAAACCAAGGTTGCGCCCTAGGGCTGTATTCATTGAGCGTGATTAAAACTGCTTGAAAGAAAAGGTGACTGAGCATAGCTTACATTTGAAAAACATTGGTTCCATGTTTTAAATATTCACCCCCCCCCCCCCATAGTACCTGATTGTTGCGGCTAAGATGCTTGTAATGGTTTATGCATATCGTTTGCGGGATGTTTCGTGGTAGGACTCGTGTGACCACAGTCCAACCCTTTGTGTAAACAGATGTCTACATTGAAGATTCTTTACTCTGATTTGTTTGTTTGGAGCATCCTTCCCCTAGTTTATCACGCAATTGACTAATTTTCGTTGTCCGAGTTTAGACTTAAGGGACCTCGCAGTGGCGACATACTACTTCCCCTGGTATACAGGAGGTCATAGGTTCGGTCCTGACTGTGGCGCTTGTATATTTTGAGTCCGCGTGTCTCTCCCCGTGGTCGTGTGGATTTTTCTCCGGGTCCACCGGTTTTAACCCCCACATTTAGAAACGTGCATTTATAGTTTTACTGCGATAAAAATGTCCACATGATAAGCCACGTAGTTGAGCTATCATTTGTGGCCAGGTGGCTTCTGAAAAGACTCATACGGGCTTAGTGGGCCTTACCTGCAAAAATAAAATTATCTTAGTTTTATAGACTTCGGAATTCCACCTGAGCCGTTTCTATTCCACCTGTCGATTGTACCCCTACCCCCACAGCTGCTTCAGAGCCTCCAACAAAAGCAGCAGCTACCGCTTGCACCGACGTTGGACGCCAACCTGGTGGCACAGGTGCAGGCGCTCACGGCGCAGCTCACAGCCGCCGCAGCCGTCGGCTCCACCAAGACCGGTGTGCAACAGAATGCATCACAGAATGCACAGCCACCTGCTGCACAGCCTCCTTCGCTGCAGCAGCAGCATCAGCAGCATCAACAGCATCAACAACAGCAGCAGCAGCAGCAGAGTGCCCAACCAGGGCAGCCTGATCACGACTCCTCCTTCAACAAGGTTACTGTTGCGCGATGGTGGCTGTGGTTATGTTTGTGATTTCAGGGAAAGCTTTGATTTGTGCTTGTGGGTCTGGCTGCTCCGCGGTGATGGTGGGCATGCGGAGTAGGTTTGTGCGTGTCATTGTGTTTTGCAATTTTTGGTGCCGAGATGTGTTCAAGAAGAATGTCTCCGCAACAACCATGGTTGAATGTGTCCCTCCCGCAGAAACTGTTGGATCGGTTTGATTATGATGATGAACCGGAAGCTACGGAAGAGAAGCCCGAGCCACAGTCGACGTAAGTCACTCCACCACACAACTGCCTTCATTGTGGCTACAGGTGCACTGATAAGGTCCTTGTAACCTCACTCGCCAGTGAAGTAATATACATGGCATCGATGATGAGATTACTACTGCTGACGGAAAATTAATTTTAGTCCCCTTATGGGAACACCTTATTTAACATTTTTCGCAAACCACTACTCTTTGTAGATAATTTCGAATATGTAGCTAAGGCCTAAGCGCCTGTAGAAATTACTGCACACGTATAACAGCAACTGCCATTGGCCGTTCTCAAACACTTCTCGATGAGAGTTGGAAATCAAACATTTTCTTTATACCAAGGACTCGAAACGTTTTTGGTATAAACAAAAATTTATCTTTTACTCCTTGTGGTGTTTTGAGGTGGTTGATGTGTTTATCCGCATGTTTGCGTGGCTGCCTTCATAGGGGTTACCATTGTGAGCGTGCTGAGCAGCCACCGGTTCCCCCCAGCATGGAGGAGTTTCGGCAGCGTTACCTGGAGCAGCAGGAGGAGCACTTCCAGCAGCAGATCCAGCAGCGAGTGAGTCTGGCCGTCCTCAAGAAATGCAGTTTTGTGTACAATCACAGGGGTGCACAGGCCCCATCCTATCCGCCCTTGCAGCGAAACTACGCTTAATATCTCAGAAGTTTAGACAATAATTCCATTTACGTTGCGCTTTTCATCAAGGATCTCAAAGCGCTGTACAGGACGGAGCAACAGACACTCAGCATAAAAACAATTTATATTATAGATACATTTTAAGAATCCATTTTCTCCGTCAACTAAAATTTTAATAAGCGGAAGCGTATAAATCGGTTTAAAGACGCTTTTTTTAAATTTCCACAGACTCCCATATCCTGAAATCTTGTGGAAGAGCATTCTATAGCCTGGGGGGCTACACAGGAAAAAGCTCGGTCACTCATAGACCGAAGCCTCAACTTGGGAATGCAGAGAAGATCTGCATCCCCAGATCTTGGGGACCTTGAGGGGACATGGGGGTGCAGCATGTCAATGATGTAGGCTGGGGCAAGATGGTTCACTGCTTTGTTAAGTTAACAATAAGATTTTTAACTATATTCTATGTGAAACTGGAAGTGCAGGGAGGCCAACGTGGGTGTAATATGATGTGAATAAGGTATTCTGGTTCTCACCCAAGCAGCCACATTCTGAACATGCTGCAATAAACATGTGTTTGTCTTGTTCTTCGAGACCTGTTGGTCCTTGGACTGAATTGTAGTTTAATTCACCACTTGTATTAATTTGGCCGGTTTTCGTTTCTCTGCAAAACCAGGTTCATACAGATGGGTGGTGTGATGTTAGTTGATGTCGTTCAATACTTTTTCATCTGTATTGACATCGCATCATCTTTGGCAAGTTATACATGGCCCAAGGCAATACAACTTAAACTATTGAGGTTATATGGAATTAAGCTGTGGAAAAAAAGTTACCGTGACTTGTACTCTTGCGGCCTAGTGATGAACCTATAATTTAAATGTTTAACAGCACCGTATAAATCTGTCGGTAAACCACCATGTTCTTATAGGTGAAGGTGTCATCTTCATTTATGTAATTGTCTTCGCTTGCTTTTGTGTCCTGAAGCAGCAGCAACAGCAGCACCAGCAGCAGCACCAACAGCACCAGCAGCAGCAGCAGCACCAACAGCACCAGCAGCAGCATCAACAGCAGCACCAGCAACAGCAGCAACAGCAGCAGCAGCAACAGCAGCAGCAACAGCAGCAGCAGCACCAACAGCAGCAGCACCAACAGCACCAACAGATGGGTGGCGTGGAACACCACCAGCAGATGTTCATGCCTCCCCAGGGCGTCCCTCCTCCATTCGGACAATACGGGCAGCCCTTCATGCCACCCCCGGTGCCTCAGCCCGATTACCCTCCGCCCACAGAGCAGGTCTGGCTCACACAGCGCGCTTACGTTAACACAGGCCTGTGGTGCTAGCTTCTCCAAAACACAATTTACTTGCACCTGCTTCTTTTTGTTGCCTCTTGCTCCCACACGTTTGCATTGCCTTTTTCGATTCTTGTGTGATTGTCACTGACCAAAAATATAGAGCTTACTCGTACGTGTACCTCTAACTCTCTGGCACCTATTGTTCATGTTGAATTTTCACTGTTTAGTTTCATGACTGTTAAATGCCTCGTTTGTTAGTCTTGCAATATTGATGTTTTTGCCTTTTGCTTTTTATGTTCCTGTGTTCGCACACCAGAGTGCCGAGGTGGAGATGGACATGGACATGGAGATTGAGCAGCAGGAGGATCTGGCCATGATGGACTATCGTCACGGCCAACGATCCCGCTCACCAACACGCTCCAGCAGGTGGGGCTGGGTGGCGCACAGGAGGGCAGGGCAATGCACAAGCGACTCGACAAAGCGGAGACAGAGCCAACTGGATTGACAGAATTTTTAAGGATGATGTTGAACTCCTTATCCAGCAATGGACAAGTTAAAGGTTTTTTCATGATGGCCTAGGCCAAGGGTCAAGAACAAAAATAACAAGACGAGTCTTTTTTTTTTAGAATTCGTTAAAAAATTCTACAATTTTAGAGCCGAATTGCGTATGAATACAAAATTGTCCCTTAATAAACGACGTCACAAAGCAGTCCTTAAAGATACGCATGCGGCTCCGGATCCGCAGGTTTGCAGTCTCTCCTAGCCTTGGGCAAAACACACCCCTGAAGCGATTGTAACGAGCTGGGCCGTCTCACAGATTTTTATCTAGATTTTGTTACCAATATCGAAGTCAAAGAATCCATTCAGATATTCGCAGAGCGGTGCAACTTTTCACGTGAGAGGAGGACCCACAGAAGCAGCTATCGCAGGTGTACCTCTCAGGTCCCTTCAAGTGACTTCTGTGCCACTCGGTAAGGAGAAGCACTTTTTATATTTGATCTGCCGCAGAGAATAATCGGAGAATTAATGTTAGTTGCTTGAGAGTCATCAAGTATACTTTTGATTCTCATAGTTGGAAATTAGTTGCATTGAGTGCAGAACCAGGCATTGATGACCAATGCACTTCAGAATCCAGTTTAATCACAGGTGGTTGAAACTTGGGACTCAAAACCAGAAGCCTCAGCGGTGCCAGCTCAGCGCTGAAGACTTGTGAGCCACGTGGACACATCAAAACGTTTATTTATACTGGAATCGGATTGGTTGTAAAGTTGTTTTTCCACCAACGTCCACCTCGGTGTTGCAATTTTTAAAGATTGACGGTGCCGCCCTGTGTGCACGCGCAGGTCCCCGCGTCGCTTCCGTTCCCGATCACGCTCTGGCTCGCGCAAGAGGAAGTACCGGCGGCGCTCGCGCTCGCGATCACGCGACCGGCGCCGGCGCGCGTCACGCTCGTTGTCACGGGAGAGGCACGAGAGGGAACGTGAGCGCGAGCGGGAGAAGGAGCGGGAACGCGAGCGCGAGCGGGAGAGGGAGCACGAGAGGGAGCGTGAGAAGAAGGGCTTCCCGCCGATGAGACCCAACGCGCTCAGCGGTAAGTAGTTGTAGCGCGTGCGCTTGTGACAATGCCCCCTGCGTGCGTGCATGTGTGTGTGAGGTTTCAGGATTTGTCACGAATCGGCACCGCGGTTTTATTCAATCATTGTTTTTGCCTCGTTTTTTATTTTTATCCCACACCTGATGAGCACGGTTGGCTACGTACGGTGCGAAAGAAGTTCAACATATATAACCCTATTTTGCTTTGGCTTAAAGGTAGAATATGCAATTTACATAAGTTGTAAATGATTACTTCTTACAAGCATGTAAAATGAATGCATCAGCATTAAAACATTTTTTTTTATCAAAGCATTACATGCCGAATATAACCAATGATTCCTTTTAAGGATTGTTCTTTCATTGTTCATATTGGGAAAACCAACATTTAATGTACTTTATTTTCAGCTGCCATTTCTTACATATATGTATTAAAATGTACATCTTGAAATTAACTTATAACGAGCGAACCAATGTTAGAATGCAGAAAGTGCGCGTGTGCCATTATACTCTAAGGATGTTGCTAACAATTCTGCCAAATCGCCCGATGATGCTGGATGTAATTACCAGCAAAAGGTTGTACTCAAATTGTAAATGTTGTGGATTTAAACTCCACACCGGTGGGCAGAAGGAATAACTAATTGACACGTTTTGTTTGTGGCAAACCTTACTGGCTGTGGTGGGTGGTGGGTTACGACATTTATACTTCAGCGATCTAACCCAAAAAACTTTATTATGCTCACTCTTTTACTGTCTAATACTTCATGTCCATGTGATGTTTTGTGTTGTCCACCCATCCTCTATTCAGTCTGCAGCACCACACTGTGGCTGGGCCAGATCGACAAGCGAACAAATCAGCAGGATATCCTCAACCTCTTTGAGGAGTATGGCCAGATTGAGTCGATTAACGTGAGTTCTCGTGCTGTTTTCCCCACTGGGCGTTCGGCTTAAAACAGCAGAGGGTGGCAGAGGCTTCGAGTGAGATTGCATTTAGTAATCTGTGGCAAGATGAGTAAAGCGTGTGCACTGGTTTTTATCAGACCAGCCTTTCAGCCGGTGTGGGTGGGGACAGCTTCGGGGTTGTGCATGGAATAGTTCTCATTCTGGTTACATTGTTGGCAGTGGTGAATTAATCTACAGGACAGGGATGGGAAATATTTTCCTTGCTGAGGGCCAAATAGATATTCAAATCCCTTTTTGGTGGGTGACAGACCTTGGTGTCATTGACTAATAGTGCAGGAAGACAAAAAAGTTTGCAGTGTTCCCATGTTGAAAATATTTCCCACTCGTACCCAATTAGTATGACCAAAATGCATAGATTGGCAGATGAATTTAATTTGTTGGCCTTTTAGAAATCGTTGGTTGAGGGTGGGATATAGCCTGCAGGGGGCCCATAGGTTCCACATTTGCCACAAGACAACCACTTGACTTCCTGTTGACCTAAGAGTCGACTTCTAAACAAGATTTCAAAATTCAAATTGCGAGTTGAGCACTTTAATCACAGAACCACCTTACGATCGAATATACATTCCGTATTCTGCAGATTATAAGTTAGAGATACGTTTATCTTTCTGAAGACTGTTCTCCATAGCAATTCATTACAACCCATTGGACGGAAGGCAACCACCATGTGGCGGATGTAATCCTATACTGTATGGTATCACATCGCAAAATAGTTAATTTTAACCGCATACATTCCTGGTGAAAAAATTGTGCAAAGTTCTTAACGCCATTTTTTTAAAGGAATGCATTTGCGAAACATTACGCTTATAAGGAAATGTTCCCTAATCGATCGGCAACCTATTTGCTAGAAAAAAATATGCGGCAACTTATAGCGGGGGTTTCCTGAATTTCGCCGATCACGCGCCTTTGGTGCGACTGTTAACGGTTGACTACGAGATTCCTGTTTTGCATTGTAAAGAAGTACTGGAATCTTTAACGGCAATGCTTGCGATGATGCTTTCTGGGAACTCTTTGGATTTGGAGAATATGGTGCATTCCGTGTGTGCAGTGTGTGTCTGAAATGTCACAAGCTGTTGGCCACAGGCACACTAAATGGGATGACGCTGACCCTGTGTGCTGCATCACACTTTCAGATGATTCCTCCGCGTGGCTGTGCCTACGTGTGCATGGTCCAACGGCCAGATGCTGTACGTGCCCTACAGAAGCTCAACAAGGGCAAGATGAACTCCAAGTCCATCAAGGTATGCCACCTATTGATAACCGTAGATGTTGCTTTAACTTTTGTGAATCCACATATGCGCTGGGCCACGCCAACTAAGTGTTGTTATTGTGGGCAATTGAGGGCTCATTTGAATGAAATATACGTTTGGTCCTGCGATGTAAAAATTTGGGAACCTGCACACAAGCTGATTTCACGACTCCATCTCCGTGCAGGCTGCAGTGTTTGCGCCGTCATTAATCTCGACCACTGCCCATCATCCCTTCTGGAGAGTTGGGGAGGCCTTGATTCAGCAATGGATTTATCGTATATGATGAGGATATATTTAGTGAAGTAGATGTTGCTAACTGTAATTACTGGCGAAACGTCGTACTCAAATTGTAAATGTTGTGGGTTTACTCTCCAACATACTGGTGTGCTTTGCCAGTAACGAATTGTCATGTTTTGTTTACGTGACTAAACCGTATGCGATCTAACCCAAAAATGGATAATATTGGTCGCAAAATCCTACTTGTTAAAACGTTACAGACTGCTTTGTAAAATTAATTATTAATTCCATGATAATGATTTTTACATTAGGGCTGTTGAAATGCACAACAGTGTAACCAGTTCATTTAAAATCCACACGTGTACGGTATGCATAAACCAAGCGCAGACAATTTTGTTCCTTTGATCTTCTATTGTATTTATCTTGCCAAGCCCTGGCTAAAGTTGTTTTTTAAAAACTTTTTATCAACCGAATAACCCCTCTGCCCAAACTGTTGTCGCGCAATTAAATTTATGCCCTCTGGGGGATACTGTCGCTCTTCTACTTCAGCAGATTGCATGGGCGCCCAATAAGGGCGTCAAGTCGGAGTACAAGCAGTACTGGGACGTGGAGACGGGCGTCACGTACATCCCGTGGGAGCGCGTCAAACGGGAGCACCTAAACCTCTTCACAGACGGCGGCGTCATCGACGGGGAGACCATGTGCTCCGGTGCGTTGCCGGTGAACAGGTTCCTTTAATACAGTTGACCATCGATTATCCGGCTGCTTCCAACATTATCCGGCGCTCCCGGGCCGATCCGGGAGCGCTGTAGCAGTAGTAATAATAATGGTGCATAGGATTATAATGCGCTCGTAACGTAACAATTCGTCTAAAGGAGCGCAGTTTCTGAGCACGGGACCTCCTGATGGCACTTGTCCCTGTCCTGCTCACGGCGACTGGCCTACGTTAAGCAGCAGCAGTCAGACACGAGCTAATTGAGGGAGAATTTGAGCGAGCTCCAATCGGTCGCTAAATAACAAATGGAGCAAAACATCGGACATACCGAACAACACTTGGTACAAATTTTGATTTAAAGCTTTCGTGACTGCAGTAATTCATATTCTTAGTTCTTTCGGTAAAGTCACGTTGAAGGGAAACAACAAAATAATAAAATATATATTGTTTTATATATTTTTTATTATTTTGTTGTTACCGAAAGAACTAAGAATATAACACTTGGTACAACCCGAGGACACATCAGAGTTCATCCGTTGTTGTGAAAATTGGCAATTGTGGGTATTAATGATTTGTATGGTATTTTGGAAGCTGTTTCCTCCGAATTACATTTCAAATGAGAACCCAGTTTTTATCATGGGTGGCTTTCCCGATTCAGACTCAGGAGCTCCATGATGGGTCCCAGTTCCCTGCTTGTGAGGCCTTTGAACCACCTGGGCACCTTTATGGGGGATTGCATGTTTGAGTGAGGTGCTTATGGAGGTAATGCTACACTCTCGTGGCTGTATTGCGCTTCGCTTGAGCCAGCCACCAAAGTTCAGGGGGAATCTTTGGCTAGAACATCATTAACTGTCAATTTGTGGACTTGCATGGTCTGGATTGAATGGTCAATGTGGTGTGTGCCAGCACTGGCAATAATGAGACAAAGGCAGTTAGACTGGGTCACCACCACCCCATCAGTATTCCTTGCCTGCTTTTACTATTTACTCATTTTTATTTTACCGGAGAAGGCCCACTGAGCTCTTTTTCAGAAGCGAAGCGACCTGGCCGCAAATGATAGCTCAACGAAGTGGCTTATGTGCAAATATATAGCAGCCAAATACTCTTAAACACATGGTTCTAAATGTGGGTGGAAAAACTGGAGGACCAGGAGAAAAATCCATGGCAGCATGGGGAGAACATGCAAACTCCAAATATACAGGCGTCGGTGTCTGGATCGAACCTACGACCTCCTGTATGCCAGGCAAGGGAGTTAACATTTCGCCATCGTGGCGGTTGTCTGCTCACAACACTCCCCCCCCCCCCCCCATGGAATTGACTGATGCGATGGTCTTCGTCTTTACATGCATGTGCGTCGAGTATAGACTGGGAGGACAAGCCAAAGGTTACCGAAGAGGAAGGTGACAAGAAGCCCCACGGTGACAAGAGCCCTGATTTCAAGCCTGCCACACCCACACAGGCTGAGCCCATGCAGACGCCCAAACCCCTGGCTACTCTGCTTCCACAGGTAAAGCTCGGACAGGCAAAAGTGCACATTTGGCAACTTGTGATTCACTTTGAGATGGGATGTCGTGCCGCCCTAAACACTTTGAGCATTGCATTTTTTTTGTGGTCATGGTGAGACTGTGGGCGAGGTGTGACCGTGCGGTTGTTTGTGTGTGCATGTGTCGCAGGTGCCAGTAAGCCAAGGCATGTCAATGCCGCCAGTGCGGATGGTGCAGCCGCCCCCCTCGTTCGCGCACACAATGCCCCCTTTCAACCCGGCGATCCCCCCACCACCGTTCCTGCGGGCTCACTTCAACCAGAACACCCCTCCTCCAGGTACAGGGCTCGTCAAAGAACACACGGTGGCCACACATCTGTGTGGTGGCTTTTTGAATCGGGCTTGCACGTTTTATGTCGGGGGAGCCCTTCGGGACTCGACGTTTTCGCTCGCGCATTTTCAAGATGTGTATTAATTTAAAAAGGTCATGGTTGTACGGTTGCATTTTTTTTTTACTTGTAAATAAACACTCGCTTAAGGGCATGACCTTATTTTTACTCAAGCGAGTTCGAGATTGAGCCTTACTCATCTGCTATCGCGTCAGCTGCTTTCTATTGTTATTAAAACGTGCTGTGGCTATGATTGAATTCGTGCCAGGCTTTCTGACTGCCGGAGCTGTGCCGCCTCCAACTGGAGTGCCCCCAGTGCAACCCTGTGAGTAACGCAATCAACGTTAAAGGAAAACGCAGCCCAAAATATACCGAGCCCTTGTGGATATTCTCCTAATCTCTCTGTCCCCAGCTGTCCCAACGCCAGTTGAAAGCTCTGTTAAAGAGAACAACTTCAAAAGCATGCTCTCATATACTACACTCCATTGTAGCACTTTGTTGATGTCAGTGTATTGACTCAAACTATATGAGAATTGTCACGGTACTGTCCCTAAAGTGCAACTTTAAAGCATTCTCAATAATAAAGCTTTGAACTGATACTGAGCATCCCCGATGGATACACACACAGTCTTGGTATATTTCTGCAAGTCAAGAGCCAATAGTTTTTTTTATGAGCTGCAACTTCCTTTGCACGCAATCGTCACCATTAACATGAACGTTTAAGTATGGTGCAGATTAAAGCAGCAACGATAGTAATTGTTTGCATCGGCGCTGTAGCAGCGCCCCAGCTTGTACCGCCATTGGTCGCTGCAGACGCCTCCAAATACTCTCACCGAGGACCCGGGGCCTCCTCGGGCTCAGGGCCGTCTAGCGGCATGCCCGACAACCCCGTATTCCCTGGCATCCGGCGCGGTCAGTGTGAGTTGAAGTCATGGGGGGGGCAGGGCAGGTTCAGATATCACTCGCCACCGATGTTTGCCATGGTCAGAAAATTTACCCTGTCGCCGAGGTTCATCGTGTAGTGTGCGTTTAACCTGTGCACCGACACTGTTATATTCGATTCAAAATATAAGACAATTTACTTCAATTAGTTGAGCTATTTGTCCTGCTTTTTAAACCTCATTGGAAATGGGGACATGCACTGTAAAAGACAACTCTGCTGCAAAAAAGGCATAGGGGGACGCTGGGGCCACGAGATTCCCAACATCATTGAGTCCAAGGAAAGAACAAACACAAACGGCCTGCGCCACACCGATCTCGGGGTGTGTCGTGTCATCGATAGGTTTCAACTCTGGCTCCGTGGAATCAATGCCTGGCACAATTCTCATCGAGAGGCAATAATTGCAATGAGATTGTATCCTGTTAAGCCTCGCTGAGATGTTTGGCTAGTTAAATTAATGAATAGCATTTGGGAGGAAATTGTAAGTTCCCAGAGTTCACATCCACAAAATGAATGACATTCAAAGCTCTTCCAGGTAGATTAAATACATTGCTGTCCTGCTATCTCCTGGCCATCTCGGTCTGCAAATTCATAGAAATTGGTTAATCAATTAAACAACATGTTTTCATTGCACAGTTTGCACATAATATGGAACATTAACTCAACCACACTGGCTAAATAAAAAATCTGAATGGGTCCTAGGCATTTCAGATTTGTATGTTTGGATTTTTGACCACGTGTTCATCTGTGCGATTCCCATGATCCGTTGCCTACAATCACATTGCAATTGGAACGGAAGGCGATTGCGGAATAATTAAAATTGTATAATCAACAGTCTTTTCTGTCGGAAATTGCCAAAGTGTGTCCTTCATTGGCCATTGTGGAATTGCCACGAATCCCATTCTGTAGAACATAGATCCAGGAATCTATGGCTTCGAATTGACGATGTCTGCGTCGATCCCCATTTTCGATTACGTTTCTTGCACTTTTACTTAAACAAATGGTATTTGTTGTGCTGGCTTGTGAACTTGAAAACAAGGTTGGGCTAGTGCTTATGTTTGTATTTTTGCATGAGCTCCATTACCGGGCGGTTACCATTCTCTCCTCTGCGTCCTCTCGCTTGGCTTTGACCATCATGCCCCTAGGTGTGCACTTTTTGTGATTATTTACATCGAATTGCAGAGTGCTTGCTACGAATTTCCAGTGTCGTTTCTCCGCACCTCCGATGAGCACGGTTTGCTATAAATACATTGTGAAAGAAGTTGTGCATACATACAAACGATTTGGATGATTTTTCGTCACATATGGATCACCTTCTGAGACTGCACAGTTTAATGCATAAATGTTGATGTTATTTGAATAATTGCTCGGCAGTGGATTATGTTTTTGATCTTTGTGAGATCCAGGTTGAGTCGGTTCCTCTGTCTGCAGCGTGAACGAGTGCACCCTTATGCACACACGGTCCTCACTCGCCACCCTGTCCCTGTTTCCATCTCACAGCCGCACACATGATGCAGGGCGTCCCCATGATGGGTCTGCCTGGTATGAGCACCCCTGGCGGACCCGGTGGGCCCGGAGCCATCAAGCCGGCCAGCCAGGAGAGCCATAGCGACCGGGAGGCTTCGTCGGATGGGCAGCAGCAGCGGGGCGGCATGCCGCGCATGCTGACACCCGGACCGCAGGCGGGGACGCTGAGCAAAGAGGCGGCAGCAGCCGTGGCTATGCTGGCCGGACGTGCAGGCATTATGCCCACCGCTGACGAAGACTCTGCGCCAATGCTGCCACCTCCGCCACCGCAGCAGCAGCAACAGCAGCAACAGCCTCAGCTGCCGCACATGCTGCCCCGCATGCTGGGCCCGCCGGGCCAACAGAACGTCATCTTGGGCCTGGGTCTTCCCGGGCAGCGTCTGCCGCCTGGCGTTTTCCCGCAAGCTATCCGGCCGGGCATCCTGCCCATTCCTCTGATGCAGCGTTTCCCGGCCGCCATGCTGCGGCCCGCTCTGTTAGCGCGACCTAACCTCCCGGGCGGTCCGCACACCCTCATGGGTCTTCCGTCGCTGTTGGGGCCCAGACCGCTGTTCCCATTCCCTCCAGAGGGAGCGGACGGGGAGGAGGCCCCAGCGAGGATGCTGCCTGCGCCTGAGCGGCGCTTTGCGGCCGGCTCGAGCACAGGGACGGGTGGTGGTGGTGGTGGTGGTGGGGCGGCAAGCGCCGCCAGTGAAAGTTTCTCGAAGGAGTCGTCGGGCGGGCAGGAGGGCGACCGAGACTACCGCTTCATGCATGCTGCAGAGTCCACCAGGGAGGAAGAGCGGGGCAGTGACGGGAGGCGGGGCGACCGTGATGAGCGGGAGCAGGGCTTTGGGCACAGGTTCCGGGGAGGCGGAGGGAACAGGGGCAGACACCTTTCTGATGAGGATCGCTCAGAAAGGTTCGGTGGCGGTGGTGGCGGCGGCGGCGGCGGTGGTGGCGGCGGGAGGAATTTCCGCTTTAGCGGGCGGGACGAGGAGAGGCGTGAGTGGGGCGGCAGGGGCTTCGATCGTGAGAGGAGAGGCGGCGGGTTTGATCGTGAGCGCCGCGGCAGTTTTGAGCGCGGCGGGGAGAGGCCTTGGGAGCAGCGAGGGCGCAGCCGCGACGATTTCAGCCGTGACCGAGAGCCGGGATTTCGCCGTGACCGCGACCGGGAGAGGTCGCGATCGCGTGAGCGCGACAGGTCCAGAGAGCGTGATCGTCGCGGGCCGAGGATGCTCCCATATCCCGAGCCCCAGGAGGAGGCGGCACGGGCTCCCTCTGACGCCATCGTCGCCACTGCCAGCAGCCCTGAACGACGGCTGCAGCCCAACGGGGAGGCGCAAAAGTCGCCTGCTGTCCCCCAACAGGAGTCGGCCATTCGCTCGGAGTCAGTGCTGGGAAAGGAGCCCACATCGCTGCCTATCCCGGAGCCAATGCCACAAGAGCAGGAGCCCCCAAAGCAGCAGCCAGAGCCACTGCAGCAACAGCAAGAGAATACCGAAGAGAAGCAGCAGGAGCAGCATCAAGAGAAGACTCAAGATAGAGCGCAGGAGCAGCCGCCTGCCAACGCTGAAAATGCGGTGGCCATGAAGTCGGACATTGATGAGAGGGCTGGTCCCAGTCCTCCGTTGTGCAAGCCAGAGGGTGACGGGGAAAAGACGGCTCCAGCGACCACTCCTGATTCACCCAACGTGGCAGCCGCAGAGAGCTCGGCGTGACGAACACACAAATGATTTTAAAATATAGGACTGGGTTTTTAATGGCACCCTGCTTTTCCAAGCAAGCTCTTCCGACTTTTGGAAAGAAAAAAAATTCAGTTGCAACGCTCAACATTTACAGAATGTTTTATTTGTGGAAAAAAGGATTCACTGTAAGGGTCAATAAAAATGAAAACACGGTTTTTTTTACACGATCTGTACAAACTGGTGGCCTTTTTAAGTGCAGGAGTTTTGGTCCGATTGTCCATTTGAGACTTGAAATTCAGATGTAAGTGTGACTTGAGCATTACTATATAAATACAGTCGTTAATTTTACCTTTTTATTTAGGTGTACAAGACGTATTGCATGTCCGGTGCAGCTGCTGACATTGATGGGCCATGTCAAATGAACCTGAATGTTTTTTGTCCTCAAAGTGTTAGCTTGATTACTGCCATCATTCCCAAGCAAGGTTATATTTAACAAAACAAACCAAAATTTGGAACAGAATAGCATGGGAATAAATCTTTTTATTTTTAAACTGCGTCTTCAAACAACTTCCCGTTGTAATATTTTTGTTTTGAAGATGGCCTGGTGTGTTGCACGTATCGGATAAGGAAGGGAATGTGTTTTCAACAAATCTGGTGGGCAAAACCTCATGTTGCAGGCATTAAAGTGCACCGGTGTTCTTAAAGCGAGAACACCAACAATGCTCTCTTAGATAGTTCCGTATGCACAGTTAACACATTTATTTTGATGGAATCTGTGGTCTGTGACGCGCATTTCAGAAAACACCCAGTTGAATGAACGGACCTTGAGAAAGTTGCCTTATTTGCTGTAGAGCAGTGAATTTTATCCAGTATGCGTGTGATATTCACAGGGCGTGACACGAGCCCAACTAAATTTAATGAGCTCAAATTTTTCGGGAGACATTTCAAAGCTCGATGTACTTAAGTACTAGTATGGTGTGTGCTGTTTAAAATATCTACCTGCGCAAAAAAAAAGCACCAGACTTCCACCACGGCCAACATAAAACAGCATGTGCTATCGTCACTCAGAATACAATAGTTATATAAGATGAGAGGACTTTGGCGGTGCCATGGGCTGCCCACCTCAGGTCCGCTGATGCCGGCCCCCTCCACCCCGTAATGTGCACGAATCCGTTCAATCAGTGGCCACGGGTTCTCATCTCAGATTCGATCGCCCGTGGTGCGGGGGCTTGGTCTCTACCGCCACTTTCTGTGCACCTCTTGCCTGTTGCAGTGCGCGCCGCACGCCACGGTAAGTGCGTCGAGCTCGTCCTGTGGAGCGGCGCCGCCGGCCCTGTGCGAGGGAGAGCGGTAACGCTTGGACGAGGGAGTGCAGGAGCAAGCGAAGCGCACAAGCAAAGAGGGAAGCGCTGGGTGAGGGCCATGCTTGCCCGGGTGGGTAGGTAGGTATGGGCAGGTAGGGACTTGTTTTGCACCACACCGCACTCCCAGGACCGTGCTCGGCTGAGACGGTTTTCCCAATTTTAAGGCAGTGTTGCCTAAACCGTCGTAGCTTTGTCCAGTTAATGATTCAGAACTGTTTGTCCCCCCCCCGCTCTCATAATTCCTAGACTTCATAATTTACGTTTTGCAGTTTACAATGGCAAAGCCAATATCCTGAACCGAGCTGCTGAGTTTCCCAGTGGCTTCCTTTCGTCTTGGTTGAATTGGTCTATGAAAACGTGGATATTGGCACACCTTGTTCAACAAGTTGATATTTAAAAACTGATAGGCAAACAGCTTGTCTTCACGAGCCACAGAGTAAACATGTGAAAGTGGATTCGAATATTTAGGTAATGTTTTGAGTTAACCCATGGTAAATGCGCTATGATACATTTAGGCAATCGGCTTGTTTTTTTTGCAATTTAGCATAATCTGAATTTTTTATGTGTTTTCATGCTTGTTATCAATGTCTCCCTGTAAGCCAGCAGTGTACTAAGGCGTCTGCTATTCGAGGAATTTTAAAGTATTACACTTTATGCCCGATGTGAACCTAAAACAAATCGGCTGATGACGGTGTGCGTCAGAAACGAGGGCAAATTACTATCCGCTGAAAACAAGTTATGTATATTCGTTTTATACATTTTGGCTCATGCACATGGAATTGGAAATTCTGTGGACGTCAGGGCAGCATTCTTAAAATGTTAATGCTAGGTTTTACACCTTGCAGCTATGTGTTGTGTTGCATCTGCGGTGTACAATCGTAGAATAGTCAGCGTTGCTGACTCGGGCAGGTGAGGATAGACGCTCACTGCTTTGGTCGTTTTATTTGGTCGAAGCGTCAGTTACCAGGGCTGGCGATGACGTCTATGAGCCCCCCCCCCTGCCCCCCATGCCACCAGTGGTGGCAGGACTTGTGTGTCCGAGCGGTGCAGATGTTACCAGAGCCCCCAGGCACCAGACTACAAAGAGGAGGGGAGCAGGGGGGGAGGGGGGTAATTTAATTTCTTTCGCCAGGATCCATGCCAAGTGTGTCGCCACTTCCCGATTCATTCCGGTGGGGGGAAGCGGGGGCGGGGGGGGGTCTGCAATGGCTGAGGGCGGTAGGGCCTTTGCACTCAGCGACTGGGGAAACGTGGCATGGGGGACGGGGGTGGTGGCGGTAGTTGTCGGTGCCTGGGGTCAATGTAGGAGGATTCTTGAGAGGCTGCCTCGTTGAACCAGAGCCACGACAGATTTACACACTCGCGCATCGCGTGGTGCTTTCTTCCGAGTATCCTTGCGGTGGAATGTTGGCAGTAATTGAGAGGTGGTGAATCTTTAATGAGTTTTTGTTTGTTTATCAAATGTAATTTCAACCACCTGTGCGTTGCCTTTTTGCACGGAGATGGCAGCGAAGCTGTGTAAGCCTTTCCTTGCGCACATTTAGTGTGTAAGCCTTTCCTTGCGCATGCGTTTTAACGCGTAGGCTGACGGTGATGTTATCACCTTTACTTTATTTAAGACCGAAACATGGAAGACTTCTTCACAATTGTGGCTAATCGCCCAATGAAGCTGGTTGTTAGTCACCGGCTGAAACGTACTCGGAATTGTCAATGTGGTTTTATTCCCCCAACACACCGGTGTGCTGAACTAGTAACGAATTGGCACGTTCTATTGGCGTGACAAACCGTACTCATTAGCTGTCGGATGGTGGTGGCGGGTTGAACGAGACATTTACGCCGATCTAACCCCAAAACAATAATCTGTATTAGGCATGCGGTCTCCTTGCAAATGCAGCAGGTGGTGCCCCACAAGCGCGGGGTGGTTTTTTTTTGTCCCCTTAATTTTGTGCACCGCTGACTTCAAATCAGAGATCGCCCCATAAACCTGGGAGGACTTCGACCGCAACACATTTAACGTATTTTGTTTATCCAGACATTGCATTCAAGTAGAATTGAACACGTTTTGTATTTTTAAAGTTCATCCTGCATGCCCCAATGTAACTGCAAGGTAATCGGGTGTTATTTGCCCACTGGAATGGAAACGGACCTGCACACGTCAAGGACATCGAGTGGAACTTCGGAATGTGCATGATGTTAAATCAGGCAAACGTGGAACACAATTTTCCATTGCAATTCTACAATGCGTACCAAATCCGTACTCCTGCACAGTTTGTACAGATCATAAATGTGAAGGCGAAGCTTGGGTTAAAAGCGAATTCTTTTTCTGGTTTTTATTAACCGTCGTGTACATTTAACTTGCTGTAGACTATTGTACATTTTGATGTCGGCATTGGACACCCACGCTGCGTGATCGGTTCAGGGAATCGGGGACCCTGCTCAGCACACTGGCGAAACCCGTGTTACCCATGGATTTGTGATGGGGAAAAAAAATTGTTCGACGTTTTAGTCTACAAAACGCTTGCATCCTTGCCTCTTTTCGAAACTCTTCAAGTCTACTTTTAATAGTTTCGTCAATACGTTTAGTTCGTGGAACGGACACGTGCTCTCAATTTAAATACTCTTTCCCAACAATTGCCCTGTCCTACGGGCGGTTCTCCAAACTAATTGTACACTCAAAAATGTTTTTGGGTTAGATCGCGTCAGTATAAATGTGACCGTCCACCATCCTGACATAGCCAATAAGATTTGTCACGTAAACGTACGAATTAGTTACTGCAGCCCACCGGTGTGTTGGAGAGTAAATCCACAACATTTACAATTTGAAACTTGATTTGGAGCTCTCGTGACTGCAGGAATTAATCTTTGGTTCTTTCGGTAAAGTCACGTAAATTTGAATACGACGTTCAGCTCGTAATTACATCGAGCATCATCGCGCGAAATGTTGTCGATTTACTCTCCAACGCACCGGTGCACTGAAGTCGTAACTAAATGGCGCGTTGTTTACGTGACAAACCTTACTGGCTGTGTTGGGTGGTGGAGGGTTACGACGCACTTATACTTACGCGATCTTACCCAAAAACTTTTTTTTATGAACAATATTGGTCGCGAAAGCCTACGTGTTCAAGTGTACACTGATCTACCTTCAGCCAACTTGTTCATTTTGAGATCCTGCGAGTCGACTAAACACAGGATGTGACTTTGTTCACCATGGCACCGGTGCAGCAGTGCTGTTCACGTTCCACTTCCCCACCCACCGTCTCCGTGTAAACTTTCCGCAGCACCAAGAAGCGATATGCCAGAGTTTGGGCAAGCTACCGCGCCGTCTGCAAACGTGGGTTGCTGCTTTGTACCCTTGGTGAAATAAAGCGGTGCCCGTGTCACTCACAATGTTCCCAGTGTAATAATCTCCGATCTACGGGTTGGAAGGAGAGATGCGGTGCCATTGTTGGCCACGTGTTTCTGAGCCACGCTTGGCCACAGCGTGAAAAACAGGAAAGGTATTGCCGCGCGTAACTTTTGCGTTCGAACGGTGGCAATGTTTTTTTTATTTGACTGTTCGGAGTGATGTGACCTAGCTCTCATGTACAAAGGATTTAAACTTGTGTTCCTGAATCGCATTGCTGTATATCTCTGTGAACCCTACATGTTTAACTGCTTCAGCCATTTCCCTGCCAAGGGGTGTGTCCGTGGACTTGTATCGCTCGACAGGCTTGCCGCTAGTGTGACTAAACCACGAACCTTCTTCGGAGAGAAAACACGTTTTAATATGTAGACTAAAATGATGCTTGTGTTGATTTTCTTTTGTAATGTGTATTTCACAATAAAAAAAATCAGCTGCTGCGACCAAGTATCCCATTAGCTTGCCTTTTCACCACGTGCTGTTTCGCCGGAAAGCTCGATATTGTTTGAAAGGTAAAGTGCATATTATGAATCCCGTAATTTTAAACTTCAAACTGAATACAAGTACCTTCCAATTCGGCAGCTCGGTTTTCCTGTTGGATGTCACAACTGCGAGTTCACCTGTCCATAACGCCCTCACATTCTCACATCCACCGGTGGAATTTTAAGTAAACGCTTCCATCCTGATGCATGCACATCGCGCATATGATGCTCATCGATATGAATTTGCAGCAGTATTTACATTGTCCACATGGAAAAATTGCACCACCGGTGTATATATGTAAAATGCGCGTGAGTGTAAAATCATACAATCAAATAAACGCAGATCATGCTGATGATGACCATCACGGATGTTCAGAATATATATTTATACTGGAGGAATCCGATGAGCTATAAAGCTCTTTTTCACGAGAAGTCCAATAGGGGCGGGTAATAACGTTACAATAGCAGCAATACAAAAACACGATTGCTTTCATTGCATCACTTACAGCCAGGGCTTCATTTCTCAACTATTTTTTTCCGAGTCGCTGGTATAACTGAAGTAGGCCTAGAAAGACGTCGGTACAGCTAGAGGTATGATGGATGTGGTGTGCCACATGGGGCAGTATTTTGTTGGGTGACTGATCTGCATAGACCCCTGCTAAAACCAAGCCCCGTTTATTACGTGAAAATGTTTCTCAATGCAGTTCTTAACTATGAACCTCATGAGCGTGACGCTCTTGTGGTGGTTCAACACATCCTCTTTACCACACAATAGTATTTGATGCAATAACACTTGAAGGCAGAGAGGGTGAACATGCGTCTGGGTTACGCTGATACAAACTCCGCGATACTGGCCACCCACTGGTCTCTGCCAGCTTCCCCGGAGAACATTGCACAAACTCTTTGGTTCTTTCGGTAAAGTCACGTAGTTAGAAATAAAACAAAATAAATCACGTTTCGAACCCCAACACAAGCGCCCGTCTTAAGGTGAAAATCGCGATAGCCGCGATGCCTTATGAAGAGAAGCTGTTACCAGCAAGAGTTTATATACGTCTTCTTTGGTTCTTTCGGTAAAGTCACGTAGAATGAGAATAAAATAATAAATTGATAAAATAAAATAACACAATAATATCAATTTATTATTCAATTTATTATTTTATTCTCATTCTACGTGACTTTACCGAAAGAACCAAAGAAGATGAATCATTGCAGTCACGAAAGCTTTAAATCGAAGTTTATATACGTTTTGAGAAAAAGGCTCTCGCGATTTTCACCTGAAGACGGGCGCTTGTGTTGCGTTCGAAACGTGGTGATTTATTTTGTTTTATTTCTACCTACGTGACTTTACCGAAAGAACCAAAGAGTATTGATTCCTGCAGTCACGAAAGCTTCAAATCAACATTTCACAAGTTAATCCAATCTTGATTTGAAGGTTTCGTGCCTGCAGGAATCCATACTCTCTGGTTATTTCGGTAAAGTCACGTGGTTGTTCCACCTGATGAAGATTGCTTGTGTTGCAATTAGAAACGTGATGTTTTATTTTATTTATACCTACGTAACTTTACCGAAAGAACCAAAGAGTAAGTTAATCCAAGTCAAAGTGGCTAAGACCCGCATTGATGCCCCCCCCCCTCAACACGTGTGTGGGGCGTGATGGAGAGCGGGGCGGGGGGGGCTGAACACTGGGTTTGGGTCACAAGGGACGGGAAGCGGTGTGACAATCGATGTTCCATCTCTGGCCAAATCGAGCTAGAGGCGCACGTTAAAACCCACCTCGTCAGGATTGTGGCAGGCGAAACCGGTGGCGAGTGTGCGGTCTGGTGACACCTCTGAAGACACGCTAGAACGCAGACAATACGAGACTCAGTTAATCGTCATCATCGCCGTGCTCGATCCACAACCTGGATTTAGGCCTCCCCAAACCGTCTAACGCCCCTCATGAACCTGCGATGTCGAAATGTATCGAGCACGTGCGCGCCAGCTGATTTAATCGCTCCATCTGTCGAGGCGGACGTGGTCTTTGACCACCAGCCACCCTTTCTTCACACGACGTGTCTCAATGTGACTGCAATCTAAAGCCGACGTACACGAAGCTAAAATATGTATTAATTATCTTTGGTTCTAAAACACGTTTTATTTTGTTTTATTTATAACTTCGTGACTTTACCGAAAGAACCAAAGAGAATGGATTCTTGCAGTCACGAAAGCTTCAAATGATATATTCATTGCACGCATGTACAACAACCATGCAGACCGTTTGATGCAAGTGTTTGTCGGTGAGCACCTATTAAGGCCGGCACAGCACACGACGGGGCTGATGGTCAGTATCACGTCCGGGCCGCCTTTGTCTCCCAAGTGCTGATGTTCACAAAGTAGCACGTTCTCCGTGGCTGATAATTATTCAACCAGACCACTATGCCATCGTATAACTTATACCATCACAAACACAGTTATACAAACTACAATACACCACACCTAGATTTAAAGCTTTCGTGATTGAGGGATTCATATTCTTGGTTCTTTCGGTAAAGTCGCGTTTTTTCACCTGAGGACGGCTGCTTGCGTTGTGGCCGAAACGTTGTGAGAATTGTATTGTTTAAATATTATTTTATTATTTCCCTTCTACGTGACTTTACCGAAAGAACCAAGAAAATGAACCCCACACCTTGTTAATTATGACAGTCGTGTATCGCATATTTATGACCAAGCAGCTAGATTATTCTTGAACCACGAGTATCATTGTCTGCATCACTCACGGCAGACTTAGAACATGACAGTGCTGCATGTGAATGTCCTGGAGTGCGGAGTACCTGTACCCCATAGCACCCATGTGAAGGTCGGCCAAACACTTCTGATAACACGATGTAACACGATTTTTGTCCCTGGGTAGTGTTTTTAAAAAAACATTGCTTATGCCTAGAAAGTATAGAAAATGGCTATTATTCCCTCAAACCTTGCTTTTGTGACCAGGGCTTTAAGTGGAGGAATGACACGAATGCACACCACGTTTTCTCATTGAAAATAGGAAAATTTCAAAATATCACTGTCCTGGTCACAAAAGCAAAGTTTGTGGGGAATAATAGCAATTTTCTATACTTTTGAGGCAGAAGCAATTAGGACATAACACTTACTATCCAGGAACAAAAACATGTTTTTGTTACACAGTGTAATTAGTGAGATATGGCATTAAAAGCACGTGACCACAGCAATTTATTTACGGTATATAGACGCATTGACCATTATGTACCATCTCTGGTCCTACCTCGCTTATTCTTAAACTATCCATCAGCCGAAAGCAGAAAATACCCACCCCATCCTTGCTCGAAACTCAACACATTCTTCAATAACACCGTGGAAAAATATATTATTTGACGTTTAGGGAATTTTTGGTAATTTTTTTATGTCTTACTCGCACCATGCAATAATACACTTTTAACCTAAAAATTACACTGCAATATTAGTTTCCAAGACCCACGTGGCAGGCCCACAACCTTGTCAACCCTTTATCAGCAGTGCCCTACCTGATGACAGACCCATTCGACTTTATTGGTCACCCCGTGCCCTTGTAAATCTCAAAGTTCATTCTGCAAAGTCCCATCATGAGGGAGAAACACAAACAAATAGACACACTTTTAGTTTTACCCATACTGAAATGGCTGTACCGTATGGACCTGAAAACTCAATTTCCTTGTACAAGAATACAGGGTTAAACCGTGTGGGTTGACAGCTGTGCAGGCCAATTATCAATCAAACACAGATCTTCCGTGTGGCCTTCACAGACTGTCGGAGCAAGTGCTGCCAGCGTGCACCTATGAAGGGCGGCACGGCACACGAGTGGGTGGCTGGCCAGCACCGCGCCCTGCCGCCTTTGTCTCCCCTAGTGGCTACACAGCACCGCACCAGGCACTCATTTTAAGCTGAGTCGATCAGAGCGCGCAGCGGCAATCAGCTGAGCGCAGTGTTGCCGAGCCACGTGCGTTCGGGGTTACGGCGAGCCGGTTGTGGAGGGAGGGGGCGGGGCCTAGGGCGGCGCGGCTCACGTGACCGCGCTGACGACGAACGCGCGCGCGCGCAAGCGAAGCGAAGCCGCAGCAAAAACGCGATTTTTAAATCGGCACGTTCTTAGTTGCGTCGTTTTAAAAGCAATCGGATAAAACCGTAGCTTTTATTTCCGAGGAAGAATAGCAACCGCGGGCTGCCCATCTTAAACGAGAGAGAGAGAGAGAAAAAAAACCGGCGCTTGAATCGCGGAACAAGGTGAGAATTTCGCGAGATTTTTTGATCGATTGACCCGACGCGAGCAACGTCGCTCGATAAGACGCCCAATGAAGCCCCCTCGGTTTGGCTGCACACGCAAGACGTCGCTCGTGTATCGGCCGTGAGTGTGTGTGTGTGCACGTTTCATTCATTAGACCCCCTTCCTCTCCGCCTCACTCCCTCATTGCGCCGTTACGTGCATCGCGGCCACGGCTCGCGACGGTCACGTGACGTTTGGCGGCAACCGGGGAGCGGGTGGGCGGGGGTGAAGGGGAGAAGGGGCGGGGCTGCTGGGTGAGGGGCGGGGGCTGCTGGATGACGGGCGGAGCTGCTGAGTGAGGGGCGGGGCTTTCTAGGCGAGGGGCGGGGCTGCTTAGCGAGGGGCGGGTTTGCCGGGGCGAGGGGCTGGGCTGCTGAGTGAGGGGCGGGGTTGCCGGGCGAGGGGCGGGGCTTCTGAGTGAGGGGCGGGGTTGCCGGGCGAGGGGCGGGGCTTCTGAGTGAGGGGCGGTGTGGGTGGGGGTAGCCGCCGGGGTTTGTCCCCGTGACCTGCCAGCAGCGAGCCTTCGACACTTCGCGTGGCCTCAAAGTGCACCTAGCCTGGCACAGGCGCCGTGGTGACGTCGCCGTTGCGGCTGTTGTAGTATTGGAGTGGGCCGCCCCTAGGTCGACTCGGCGTCAAATTAGTACCAGCTGCGGTGTGCGGT